ATTGAGACTCATTATTTACAGAATTGTGTTAACTTTTCAGAGCAAAATAGCCACAAAAAAAAAACTACAACTTAACACAAGAACTGGTACCTTATTATAATGTGAGGCAAATTCAATTCATTATTCGTAAATTAGATCTAAGGGGGACAGCTTTACATATGATGAACAAGTAAGGGGTCTAAAGGAAAGCCGCATGATTTTCAATTAAGTGTCTCCCTCTTTTAAAAAAAGCATCAAAGCATGCTGTGATCAGATTGTTTGCTTTGGTCTTTTGATGAAGACGCAGAAGCGAGATTTCTAGTCTTTCTCAGAACAACATTATGAGAAGCTGCCTCTTTGTGTTTGGCTGTAACTATGTCAGAGAGGCCCTGAAATAGCCCAGGGCCACACTGCTATTTCAAAAAGCCACAGAGTTCAATGAAAATAGACAGGCCTTTTTGCCTCTGCTGCCCATTTGTTATCTTGAGGAACTTTTTTTTTTTACTGGAAGTCCACTATGGGGGGAAAAAAAAAGGGATGTATGTTATTCAGGCTATACTAGGAAAAAAAGGGTAGATGTAGTCAAGAACATCTGGATTGGACTTCAAACAGAGGGACAGTGTGGGACAGGGACTGGATGAGTGGTCATGTTCCGGACGCTCAGTTTATGCTGTTGTTGTAAGTTTATGTATTGGAGCAGGAGAGGATTTTCGGTGAGAGAGACCACTTGTTAGAAAAGCCTTTCGCCAAGACAAACAAGTCGACAGGCAGCTCTAAATATGGTCATAATTCCCATAGAGAGAAATTCAGCTCCTTATATGAGCAGTTTAGTGTGTGTGTTTGTGTGTGTGTGTGTGTGTGTGTGTGTGTGTGTGTGTGTGTGTGTGTGTGTGTGTGTGTGAGACAGACACACACAGCAGGGAGGAGGATGGCGAGTAGTAGCCTATATGCACAAGATTTTCACCACATGGTCGTACCAGAAGTGTGAATCATCTGGGGCAGAGGGAATATCAGAGATGAACCAAGGCAGGGTAGACTGGTTGTGTTGACTTTTACTGTGTCAAGTAACTGATCACTCCAGATGTTCAAAAGCATGAAACATGTCTTATAGTTTAAATGGTGATTAAATATAATTTTACTAAGGCCATCAGAATTGAAGTTTAGTGACAAAGTTGATCGTTTGGGTTTCACAACTACTGTTTCTGAGGTCAAGAATAAACTTAGATGCTCAGTTTTTATACCCTCGTGAACAAGAACTCCCTCAAGTGCTTGGAAAAAGAAAGAATTTCAATTTCTGACAATGCAGATCATTTGATGAGATTGAAAGTTAAGAGCAGCGACAAAAGCCTCACAGTGTTCATGAATGAACTGTGAACCTCAAATTTATGGACATAATTGCCCAAAAGAGCACATTTTGTTTTTTAAACATCTGCCAAAAAAAAAAAGATCTTGTTATCAAAAACCTAGAGCAGCTACTAAATGGACTTTGCAGAGAGAATTTCCCCACACAGTTGAGCAAAACTCACAAAGCCAAAGTCACCAAAGTAAGACTAGCTCAACTGGCCTACCTACAGTGAGGATTCCTGCAGGCATACGGTTGTAGTTAAAAGCTTTTTAACAAGAGACAAAACCTTATTAAAAAGGTCTAACTTAAACCATGTGCTCCTGACCTCATCACTGTAGACCCTGTCTACATTGTCCTGGGGTTGATGCTGATTTGTGTTCTAATTTGGCTTGTGTGAGGTAATTCCCTCCTCCTTACCTGGTTTCATGCCAGGCTGTGTTCCTAAAATGATCTAGAATAAATCAATGGTTTCTAACCAGAGGCTCAGCAGCTCTCAAGTTCCTCGATAAACTATAGAAGCTTATTGCACAGGCTGCACGTTGTTGGAAGTGTGTCAGTATTTGATGAATTGATAGCCTAGCTTCATTACTGTGTTTACTCTTTTGACGCTGTGTTCAAATAATATAAAGATATAGTAATTACAAGTTGTTAAAACTAATACTCTCTGTTGCATTGACTTTGAATATCCTTTCCCTTTTTTTATAGTCCAAAAACTCATAGAATTGGCCCTTCAATAGTGTTAAATTATATCCAGGTTAAACCACTTATTGATGAAGGGGCCAAAACCATAACCTCTCCTCTACAACGTATTGAGTTTGTAATGACTCATGTTCAGCCCACTTTTTACAAACCCCAGTTACGCACGTACATGGACTTGTCAGCACTAAATAACGTCATACAGTTGCAAGCGTAACCCTTGAGCAATTTTCTGGACAGCTTCCCCTTCAGCAGATATCAGGGGCCACATTTCTCCTCTGCTTCCTCTTTCCACACTGGCATGTCTTGGATATGATATCTTCGTGTGCTTAAATAACTTCCCTGTAATGATGGATCATCTCTAGCTTGTACTAATTCTGACTGCTCTGTACTCTGCTTGATCATTATGCCTGAGAATGTTCTTTGTCCTCTATGTTGTGTCTGATGTGCAGCTTGATTTTGCTACTCCTGTATTGGTCACATATTGGCTCTCTGTCTTTCTTTAGGAGTGCCTGAGCCACCTAATTACCCTCTCAGTCCTCGTATTGTTGTGTTTGGTACGTAACTGTTTCTGCAAATGTTTTCACTGTTCGTCAATCTGCAAAAACATACTTTTCTTATTCCCCTTGACTTAACTTCACACCTTCTGTCTTTCTACAACTGCATGGTCCCTCATCCATTTTTTAACTTGTGATTCTTTCTATTGCCTTTGAAGCTTCAAACTCGTACCATCAGGGACATCCACCAAGTAATCTATATATAGGGTAGTAAAATCTATTTAATTTTCTTTTTGATTGATAAGAACCTAAAGCTAAATAGGAATGTTAACCTTACCTCCCATCCACCATCACATCCATGCTGTTATAAGTTGTATTATGTCTCTCAGTCTTATTCAGTTTCTTCTCTATCTCTTTCTAGATGCCCTTCTTGCTGATCTCGAGAACACCGGCTCTCCCCTAGCTCGGTGTCCTGTCCTGCTGACCTCGGAAGCCCCTCAAAATTCTGATCCTACCATCCAGGACACCGCCCATACCCGACCACCGCCACCTGCCTACACACCACAGCAGGTAGACACTTCACCTCCTGTGGATGAGTTCAGGCTAATGTTCTTGTTGAAAATTCTGACCTGATCTTACAAGCAGTCGCCATGAAACCATGCTGCTATATCATTTGTCACAGAACAGCTTGGTCATTTTTTTTTTGTCTTACAGACTGTTTCTGCTGCAATGAAGTCCTCTCAGAACTCCAATCCAGACAAACTATACAGGTACAGCTACCTGATTGTAATATAAAGTAAAGTATCATCTGCATAGAGTGATACTTGAATGATACAACCAGGCTCTACATTTCTTTGAATAATGACACTTTGCCAAGAAAGTCTCTTATTATTGTATATTTTTGTATTTCTGTAGTGACATAGCAACAAATATCTTGTTGTGAACTGCATTAATGACTACTATAAGTTACACATTTACTTGTACATTTGTTTTTTTTTGTCTTTCTGTCAAAAATGAGAAAATTGGTATCTTAAACTGCTGAAATGGAAAAAGAGGAATATCTTGCTGCAAAATGACAAAATTCTTAAGTTCAAGAGTCACTGGTGATTCATGACAAAGTGACCACCATGACGAAAACGACAAAGATGTTTCCTTGTCTGTCTCACAGCACGGTGTGTAAACCGCGCTCTCCTCGGACAACAGATCCTCCCCCAGCCTTCTCCTCCTCTTCACTATTGGGAGGAGGATTGAGTGAACTGGACCATCTGTTACAGGAGCTGAACGCCACCCAGTTCAACATCACAGGTTACTGTTTGTGTGTGTATGTGTGTATCTCTTTTGCATGCAAAGTTGACTCTTTTATTCAATTTGACTTTTATTTTTATCATTAGATGAGATCCTGGCCCAGTTCCCTTCTTCTAAGAAGGATGACAGGGACAAGATTAAGGATAAGGCCACCACCTCCTCTTCCAGGTACACAATCTGTTTATTGATTGTGCTGCAAGATTGATATGCTGGGGCTATTGATCTGCAAAATTGGCATTTTTAACACTTGTTCCAGGTCCATATTCGTGTCTACTAACATATGTACGGCGAGTAATTTGGGTTGAGGGGTGGCTTAATTTGCTCACCGTGCAATTGGTTCTGATATATATATATATATATATATATATATATATATATATATATATATATATATATATATATACACAGTAGAGTAAAGTATAAAATATATATATATATTTTATATATTTATATCTAAAGAGATAGCTTGTTGAAACATATCTGCACACTTACAACTATCCCCAAACAATTTTATTACTGACTATCCAGGATTTACTGGAAGTCCAATTTGGTTTTGTTCTGTGGCAGGGTTTCAAGTAAGCTCAAATTTTATTACAGACATTCTATTACAGACATTCTTTCTAATCGTTTGTCTTTCTTAGTAAGCAAGCACTTACCTTGAGAAAGACCAAATATGGTCAAAAAACTAGTATAATAAGATTTTTGGAGCTCATTGCAGCTATACTAAATATCTGTTTTTGGTTTTTTTTTTGCTCTGCAGTTCTGCAAAGCCCTCTGCAACATCAGCCACCCTGGAACTGGACAAACTGATGGCTTCGCTGTCAGACTTCAGAGTCCAGAGTACGGTAAGAGTCCACACAACAGCATTAAACTGAACCTTCCAAATCCTGTTATGTAAATGCTAATTTCTTCTCAACATGTGGCAGCAATAGTGTCTTTCTCTACCATTGGTGTCTGCTGTTTCTGCCACAGTGAGCTCATGGTGATCTCACTGTCACTGTGTGGCCTGACCACAGCACGAACCTCTTTGTATAAATCAGAGAATACCAGAGACAGCCAACAGGTGGAGATTTATTTCCAGCTTCAAAAGTAGCTTCAGAAAGTTAGAAGTTAAAGCAGTTACAGACCTATGTTTGGGACCGAATATAAACCCAGTCAGTCCTCTTTTAACAGCCAGTGTCGATTATTTAGGCAAAGGAAGTGGTTCTGTCATTGTGTTTGGTTTAAGTGTGCAGTCCAGCTGTGGGTTATAAACAAGCATGAGGGAGTTTCTGGGAGCAGAGGTTCAGAAGGAGAATTTCTAATGAACAACATGTTGATATATTTTGTTTTTTGACCATGCTGGAGCTGTAGTAGGTCAGGCCACCACATTGATCCAGGCTACTACGAAATGGGGTTTAATGTTTTTATTTTATTTGACATATCTGGTCTACAATGGGACCCCCTCTAGCACCAGGAGGTTAAAAAATAATATTCTGACACTTTTTTAAGTTTTATGTCAAATGCAAATACGTCTAGAACCTTTCAGTAAATTTTAGATTTCAAATGGTGTTATCAGTGTTACCACAACCTCTAGATGCTGCAACCCAAAATAAGAGGGACGTTTTTTCATACAGTTTGGCTGCTATAGGCTAGGTATCTAGATCTGTAATTCAATTTAGGTGGAACAACATCGTATGGTCAGTGAATTACTAGATATTTATACACTACACACTAGGGCTGCTTGACAATGGCAAAATTCTTCAGGATTATTTTGATTGATACTGGGATCACTATTATGAATCACTCAATCAATCTACCGGTATATTTGTATAGCACCAATTCATAACAAAGGTTATCTCAAGTCAGCACAAAGCATTTGTATTTAGCGTGAACTACCCTCCTATTGGTCTAACACTGACATGATAGAGGATTCAGAAGATTCCACATCAATAGCAGCCATCTTGGTTATTTATTAAAAAAACAAAAAACTAACTTAAAAGCACTTTAAACAGCCATAAATTAGATCAATGGCTGTGATTGGCCTGACCTGAATCAGGACCAATAGAAATCTGTCCCACCAAAACTAAACTCATTTTGTTAAGATGCACTGATTTGTGCTCGTAAACTCATGGGAGAGCGCTTACAAACTTGACATAAGGCACCAGGCCAACATTTTTATGTTTTCTGCTCACAGCCAGCTGCTCCTGCCAGTCCAGCGGTGACATCACCACAGCAGCCCGCCACCCCACCACAGCCCTCTTCTGGGGGCTCATTAGACAGCATGCTGGGGCTGCTTCAGTCAGACCTGAGCCGACAGGGAGTTCAAACATCGTCCAAGGGAAACTGTTCTGCTTGTCAAAAGCCAGTTGTCGGACAGGTAAGGCATCAGAATAAGTCTATATAGACATGCAAAAAAAGTTATATTTATCTTCTTGCAACTATAATGTAAAAAAATGTTAGGGATCCTTTAACTTTATTACTGATGGAGACTATTTTTGAAGGATGCTGTTCTTTAATAAACCGTTGACTTTATCCTCATGCAGGTGGTCACGGCTCTTGGGAAGGTGTGGCACCCAGAGCATTTTGTGTGCTCGGAGTGTGAGACGGAATTAGGCAGTCGCAACTTCTTTGAAAAGGACGGACGGCCGTACTGCGAGTCAGACTACTTCACCCTGTTCTCCCCTCATTGTGCGCAGTGCAACAAGCCCATTCTTAATGTGAGAGACTTGGATGCGTGGGCTGTTTTTCACATGAAGAGCTCAAGTTTACCCGAATTACTGAAACACAACTGAACCCACTTAACCTGATCTCCCTTTTTCTTTTTCTTTTTTTTCAGAAAATGGTCACTGCCTTGGATAAGAACTGGCACCCGGAGTGTTTCTGCTGTGTGAAGTGCAGCCAGGCGTTCGGAGAGGAAGGTAATGGGCGGTGCAAACTGTATCCTGTCTGGGTTAGACACAAAGACGTGAACTTGGTCAGGGTCATGCTTCAGAAAATCACCTAACAAACACAAATGAGCCCACATAACAATTCAGTTAATAATTCATGTAATAATTAAGCATTCTTAAACGTGAAATCCTGTTCATGTTTATTTAGAATTTGCAAGTTGCATACAGTATGTCCCAAGATTTGTAAAAGATAGAAATCTGTTTGCCCTCACTTCGAAACTATGTAAGAACTCTGAGGCTTTCAAAGGAGAGCGAATGCTCTAATGTAAATGCAGTTTTATCCTGCAAAGACCAAGACAAAGAAATCGAATCTGTGGTATAAAAGCTGCAAATTTAATCAGAACCAGCTTAAAAATATAAAATAAACGTCAGTCTTTAGGAATGTAGATCGATTCAACCTTTAACAACAATTTAAAAAAGATAGAACTTTTCGTGTTCCACAGAGCACAGTGGCTTGAAAACATTTTAAACTGTGTACTTTTCCCTCCATCAGCTCATTTAACATTTCTTAAAGCGACTCCTGAACCGTGTAAAACAGTGACTGTGTCTTGTACAGGTTTCCATGACCGTGAGGGCCAGCAGTATTGCCAGCAGTGCTTCTTGACTCTGTTTGCTTCACGCTGTCAAGGCTGCAGCCAGCCCATTCTGGAAAACTACATCTCAGCTCTCAACTCTCTCTGGCACCCGCAGTGCTTTGTGTGCAGGGTGAGTGTTTCTCTGCTGCTTTGAGGGTCATGTCAATGGAAATGTTTGTTGCATTTGGCAAATAAGAGGTGAAATCCTGTTTTCAGTTCTAATTGATCTATATATTTAGAGTCTAGTTGTTTGGAGACAAAAGACGAACAAAAGTCTTGCCAACATGTTGATTGTATTGTCTCCCTCAGTTAACATTTAAAAACGTACTTTTAAAAGAATGTCCCGAAACGTTTTTTTTTTTTTACATCTATGTTGAGTTGCTAGAAGTCACCTGAAGGACTCTACAGGCTAACTTAAATTGATCCTTCAGTATACATTGTAATATCATGAAATATGCAGATGATTGGTTCCAGACAGATGAAATATATATTTCGATGAAGATGCCTTGAATTGAACAACTACATGTATAATGTGTTTAGATTAAATTAGCATGCAGGGAGAAAATAATTGGGTTAAACTACAATTACTACAATTTGAAAATAATGTGTCTACTCCACCACAGTAACCTGCAGGTCACCACACCTAAAGCCAGGAAACAGTTAAGTTAGTGAAAATCCAAAAATGTTTTTTAATTTCCTTTGAGAAAAACAAATAGAGTTTGGCTGGTGGCTTGTCAGAAATGAATTTGGATGTGTTTGTGTTTTTTTTGTCACAAATCCATCCTGCAGCAGATCTAATGGGTCACAGGACAATTCTGAGAACAACAAGCTGGAATTTACTTTCATATGACTTCTTGAGCAAGGCAGTTAAACATCAGCTGCTACTGTGAATCTGCTCAGTGACACAGATTACACTGTGTTTGTGTTTTCATGTTTGTAACTGTATGAGTATGAGCAGGGTGTGCCTGAAAAAAAAAAGCGTTCACATTAAACTACCATAAATAAATAAAGGGGATTATGTCATAAAAGCTTTTCATTTCATATGACAAGTTTCTAATTACAGTTCCTTAAATCATGGCTCACTGCGTCTCTCTGTCTCTCTCGTGCTCCTCAGGAGTGCTACTGCCCCTTTGTCAATGGCAGCTTCTTCGAACATGAGGGTAAGCCGCTGTGTGAGGCCCACTACCACCAGTCCCGCGGCAGCATGTGTCAGGCCTGCCAGCAGCCGATCCTGGGCCGCTGCGTCACCGCCATGGGGGCCAAATTCCACCCCCACCACCTGGTGTGTCACTTCTGCCTGAAGCCCCTGAGCAAAGGCTGCTTCAAGGAACAGGAAAACAAGCCGTACTGCCACCCCTGCTTCATCAAACTCTTTGGTTGAGGACACATTAGGACTTTGTAACCCCTCTCTGGGTCCTAAAGAGAAGACGCTGTATGACTCTGAGTTCTCAATTTGTTATTTTTTTACTGCGGGAATGAGGGTGGAGCTGGTCTCTTTCTTTGATTTAAGAATAGAAAAGTTGAAATAAGAGTATCATGCACACCAATATTTTTATTAGTGTCACAAAAAGTGGACTGCATAGCATGAGTGAGACGTATACAAAATGATACCAAATGTTTTGTCATGTATGTAAGTCTTTACATAATGTATTGATTCAAATTGAATATGAAAAAAAAGTGATTTTACCAAAGATAGAAAAGACACAATATATTAAGACCAAAATGTGTTGTTTCAGGAAAGAACTTTTGTGCTTTAAATCCCCTTTAATATATTTGCTTTAAATGGCAAACTGTAAAAGTGCCAATGCTATTGCATCTATGTATTGTATGCTGCCTGCTATATTAAGTATGTTTATGTGTAACAAACTAAGCTGTCATATATGTTTAATGTCAGATTTTTTTACTTTACCCTTTCACATCTGCTCTATGCAATTTGCCAGACATTTTCAAAGAACACAATAAAGGAAAACACAACTTGTTTGCTGTTTTGTGGGTGGAATAATCTTGAGATTAAGTGTAAAGTTACATCAACATCAAGCAACTCGTTTTGTCTTTGGTCCTTTTTTGAAGACTTCCTTAAATGCCATATTTTTACCAGTTCTTTCAAGTCTAAACATTTCCAAGAAGTCAAAGACCGGTGAGTTATGAGGGAAAGAAGTCCTGTCAGGTTCGTTTATGGACTACAACCACATTTTTCATGCCATTTTTGTACTCTGATTTTGACGGGGGTTTTTTTTAACGCATCATAGGCTTTGAAAAAAAGGAAATTATGATTGTTCAAAATTCCTCATTTGTAAAGGGTTTCATGTCAGTCTTGAGATTGATCAGTAAATATCCATTCAAACCACACAACCAAAATAAAAAGTTACTTTTATAAACAACAAATCTTTCTCTCAAAGTAATTTTTAAACTTAATTTAGTTTAAGGATAGTTAAGGAAAGTTTCCACTTAATTCAGAAAGATTCTAGCAATTTGAATTCTGTCATAACATTTCTGTTGGTTGATTTCCCAGTATCACTGCATGAAATACATAAGAACAATTATTTTATAGATGAAGTTGAGTGTTTGGTTGTAAATGAAATAGAAAGAAGAAATAGAAAGACTTAAAAAGAGAAAAAGTTGCTACCCAAGTTAGTGTTTAGAATAAACTTCCACCACTGCATGTCGCTGTTTGCTCACTGTTTTTCCCCAGACGACCAGTTTGAGTTCATTATAAAAAATCATGGCTTCATCCTGAACGGGTCCACGTTTTCACAAGGAAAGAAAAAAGTTAGAATGATCTCTTTGAAATGTTGAAGTCCTTTATACATATTTATAAATTACTGCAAGAAAAAAAATAAGAGAGAAAGAGAGAGAGAGAGAGAGAGAGAGAGAGAGAGAGAGAGAGAGAGAGAGAGAGAGAGAGAGAGGCGAGGTGACAGCTACGGCAGCGTGCTGACGTAACCACGCCTCTGCCCCTGACAGGTGACTTCATTTAAAACTTAATGAGCCTTCCTTGCTGTCTGACAAGAGAAAGCATGTAACTTTCTGAAGGAAGTCACCGTGACCCGTCGGCTTTGAGTAATAAAAATAATTCCAAAATACACAATGAGTGATTCAGAACAGCAACAAGTAAGTCAGTGTTATTTTGCTGTGTGGATGTTGTTGTTTAGAGCAAACTACAGCCGCAATATGGGGTACACAAATCTTTCTAGCATTCTCTGTATGCAATATTTCTTCTCAAAGCATCTCTGAGTTGTTATCTCTTTAATTGTTGAAGTTACCCGACAGGTATAAGAAGTTTTTCTTTTGTCAATAAATTCTTAATCAGAAGTGCCTAATCTCTACACAAACATTTATCAAGGTAGACTATTTTATTTGGAGACCTCAGATATTGTCATTTCAGCTGAATGTAAATGGTTAAAAATCTGAAAACAAACATTTCACAAGTGTAACATTTATTCATTGTATTTACTTTTAATAAAAATAAAAAAAACACTGGTTAGGAAGGGTCTACATTGCCATTACACCACTGTGTTCTGGCCTGACGCTACAATAAGCTGATGCTGTTGCATGGCAACTCTAAACTACTGCAAGGAAATGCAAATGTGTATTGTGAGATTACTGAACTATTGGAATTTATCGCAATAATGAATTCTGCCTTGACCCATGCAGGGCTCAACACAATAATGTTGAAATGACTGTGAAAACATTCCTTTCCATTAATAATTCTAATAATCATTTTCAGACAATAGAAACTCCCCGGCTTGTCTTGGCTTCTTTTTTTTAGTTGTGATACGTTGAGGCTTTCTTTTTCCATCCACATTGTCTCCATCCACTCAGGAGGCTGAAAAGGTGTGTGAGCCCCAGTGGCCTGAGAATGGAGACAAGTGGAGCGATACAGAGGATGGGACAAACATGGACTGTGGGCTTCTGCAGGCCATGGCTGAAGAGGATGAGGAGATAAATGTCCACAATGACGAGACGTTTGGAATGGGTGCGTTAAAGTGTTACCTCCTACCTTGTCCTAGGGTTGTACTGATGCTGAGCTTTGTTTCTAAACTGTAAAAATGAAAAAGGTTGAGAAAAATGAGACGTTTTAGAGGTTAACCACTTTGGAAAGTACTTTATGTCTTCACTAGCCAGAGGCGGATCGGAAGAATTGATTGCACTCTTAGATTTGCAATGAGATGGTTTGATTAGCATATCTGTCTTTAGGTAAAACATTCACTTACCTGCTCCTTCAATTATTGTTTTTTTTCTTAGATAATTTTCAGTTTTCAGACTGGTTATGTAGCAGACAGTTGTCACATAACTAGGGGAGGCCCCAGTGTGTTCCTGCTACTACATTTATTGTTTTTGTGCTAAGCTAAAAGGCTGCCAGCTTCGGTCAATTTCCTAAGTTTTGGCCTTGTTTGTTTCATTTTTAGATTTAATTCTGTGACTTAGTTTTAATTATCATTATATCCTTAAAGTTAAATGGATTCCCATCAGTGTATAGATTGAAATGGCTTCACATACACTTTTTAAAATGTGTTTAAATATACATTTGAACAGAACCGAGGAAGAACTCAGTCACTTATAAAATGGATCAAAGATAAAGATATTTGTTCCCAATTATTTTTTGTTGTTGTTGAAAGCTACCTTTTGGCCTCGGACTATATTTCTACATGTGTCTGATTTGTAGACCTTGATGCACACGGGGCCACAGAGGACCCCAGCACTGGTCTCCTTCAGTTTGGAGAGCCTGCACCATCATCATCATCATCACCACCACCACCACCTCCACCAGACCCAAAACCACCATCCTACCATAGCTCCGCCTCCCCTCGCTCCCCCTCCCCTCCCAAACAGAGACCTCAGTATATGCCCCGACCTCTTAGAGGGCGGTTTGGCAGAGGTCGGGGACCCATGGGAGGTGGGCTGGGCAGGGGACAGATGTTTGAGGACCCAGCAGTGATGAGGACAGTGGAGGGCCGGCCAAGCCTCAAGGTATGGCAGACTAATTAATTGACTGTCTTAAATGACGGGGTTCAGCTCATGTGGTGCTGTCTTCATTGTGATCTGCTTTGGGGGTTTTTAGAGTCTGGACAGTGCCATAGTGGACTGTGGGAGTGCCATGTATCATAATAACTTTGAGGATGACGTAGGTTCTAATTTTTACAACATTTTTTTTAAATCAATTATTTATTTGTGCTTTTAATTTTTGCTTAATTGCTTAATTTTTTTTCCCTCCTATAGTATATTGAGCCCTCCTCCAGAAAGACTAGAAGAATCTCAGGATCAATACTTCAGGTTCACAAAACAAATGCATGTGATAATAAATGAATGAAAGTGAGTTGCTCTAACAATAGTTGTCTAATTTTATTGTGTTGCTTAGGACCAAGCTATAGTGTGTGTGATTGATGGTCACAGAGGCAGAGGTCAGCACCTGACCTCCAACTACTTGGATTTGCCACATCCTGTCTCATCCTTCATGGGCAGCAGAGGAGAACCTAGAGGATCATACTCAAGGAGACAGTTTGGCCTACGAGACCACAATCAGGTGGAGAAATGAGTTTACAAGCAAATCGTTCTTTTTAAATTAAGGTTTCACATTGAAGGCTATTAGCTATTTAACTTTCTTCTTCAGACAAGGAAAAGAAGATTAATACCTCTGATATTTGAATAAAGAATGAGGGTCTGGGGCTTGTAATTGGTCAGGTAGGTATAGCTTAGCAGTGGTAGAAGGGCTTGTTTTGGGTTTTCTGTTGCCGACAAGGCTTTGCGGTTAACTTGTATAATGTTCCATACATTTAGACAAAAAGGTTGATTTTTCAGTGCAAACAGCTGAATCAGTAACACTGGTGCAAGTCACCAAGACCTGAAGATGGTGTCAATCTTCTTGTTTTAACTGTGGAAAAAGTGTACTGCCAAAAAATGCCTGTCATCAACTTTGTAAAATTCCTCACTAAATCTTTTTCTTGCAGATGCATGAAACCATGGTGCCTGGATCACCCCACTTCGCACGGCAACCGTTAACCCCACGGCAACATTACAACCAGGTTTCTCACTTACAATCCAAACCTTACTGAGACTGATATATATTTCTAACAAATGATTCCCTGTCTGTTGTGACTCATGAGGTTATGTTGTGTTGAATCAGACAGGAAGTTTCATGTTGCCTTCAAATCATCCATGCCCCTCCACTCCTCAGTCTTTGCCCCCTAAGATGATGCAACTTCGCTTTGGTGCCAACTCACCAAGACCATCCCCCTTTTACAGCCCCTCGTCCAATTCAGTGCAACATTTCAGGTGTGTGAGCATCTCTAACATTAGAGTAATGTTTGATTTGTGTTCTGACACATTTGTCAGTGAGTACCATGAAGTTGATTTAAGACTTGGCTGTTTCGCTCCTTCTTAAATACATACAACTATCTTTATCGACATGAGTTTTATCAAATTTATACAATCTGTAAAATTAATTTCATTAGCAAATTGAAGTTTAAGGTATCTTCCAGAAACAAAAGCTTCCGCTGAAGTGGAGGCCACAACATAATCTACATGAGAAGACCAAACAGCCAAAGCCTGTTAACTCAATTTAATGACCCAGCTGTAAAACCTATTTGGAAAGTCCTAAACAGAATAATAAAGCAAAACAAATAGGACGTGAGGAAGGAGCCTGCAACAAAAAAAGAAAACTGTAAATGATTGAAATTAGAAGTAACTGACTAAAAAACATCAGAGCTGAAGTTTCTCCTGAGTTTTTGACCAGTTTAATATAAAGAAAATCTGGGCAGGTGAAAGCATTATATTTTTTCCAGAAAAGATAGTATTTAGTTTTATGGCCTCATTTTGTGTAACTCTTTGCGTTTCGATGAAGAAACTGTTGTCCCTTTGTAATCCAGATAAAGAGGCAGTGCACTCTGTTATTTTTATATATATATATCTCTGTAATTGGGACAGGAGTAGAAATGTCAATCTTCAATTGAATGTATTGGTCTTCATTTTATTAAAGGT